CGCTCGGCCCTCAGCCTTGGGCCGAGAGCTGCCGCCGGAGAGTTGCAAAACCTGCCGCTGACCGCCGCTGACCCTCGGCCACACAAAACTCTTCTCCCCCTTGCCATTAAATGCCTCGTGCCCTCGGGCCAGAAGGAGGAAATTGCGGGCGCGAGCGGGCCACGTGGACACCCTCACCCCCGGCGGACTCTGGCCCCTTCTGCCCCGGCGCGCCTCCATTCCTGTGTGTGGAAGGAAAGTGGAAATGATCCTGGTGCCACTGCACCGGGAGGGGGGCAGAGACGCTGCCGGAGGCAGGGGCGCGCTGAGGGGCACCGGGCACGTCCCCTAGGCGGGTGGCTGGCGCCCCAGCCGCTGCGCCGGGAAGCCCTGCCTGGCGCATGCAGGTGCCTTCCAGCTATTGCGAGATGGCAGACAGCAGTGAACACGTGAAGATACGGCCTCCTTGATTAAGCCAGAGACTCATGGCTAAGGGGGTTCGGGGAAGGGGGAGGCGGTAACGGGTCTCCAAGCCACCAAGCGGCTCAACTGCCTTCTGCTGTGCGGATGGTGCTCAGCCAAGACTAGACATCTTGAAGGGCCGCTGCTTTCGCCGCGCTTTGAGTTATGTCAGTCCGAACGCACCAACGGTGTCTACACGCTGAATACATATGGCAAAAGCCGCGTAGGAAACTGGTTGCCCCGAAAGCGTGCAGCCAATGCCTCCAGGGGAGACCACTCCCCACAGCAGGCCCCAAGGAGGGGCTGAAGGAATTTGGGGATTATGTTTTTTCCCCCCATTTTCCCATTCCTTCCCTTGAGAACAAAGTCCAACAATGATGTCCCACCCTAGGGTGCGTGGGTCGTGACCAACATGAGGGCTGCTGGAAAGAGTTAAAGAACGTGTACAACTAGCCCTGGCCACGCTGTGGGTTCCGGGGGGGGGGGGATCCCGGAGCAGCTCAGGGCTGTAGCCCGGCCCTGGCCCCAACTTTCTTTGTGATCTTGGGTAAATCCCTTCTTTGGGCCTTGGAGGAGGCCGGAGGATATAAGCCCAGGGTCTTTCCAGCTGCAAAACCCTGTGAGGTTTTGAAAAACCTCCTTTGTCCTGGGCCCGAGGGCCTCCTCCGTTAGGCCCTCGGACCCAGGGCATCGTCAGCTTCATGGAGTGTATGCGTGAATGAATGCTCTCAGTCTCCCCGCCACCCATCTGGCTTCCAGCGATCTCAGAACAGGGGAGACAGCCGTCAACAGAAGCGAGTCTCCCATACGCGAAGGGATGTGATGGGCGGAGCTCCCGGTGGTCTTGGGCGCCCTGATCAACTTTGTTTTTACGCAGCCCTCGAACCACCCCTGGAGGCAAGAACCAGGGATTAGGGTGACGGAGAGAGGGTTATCTCCACCCTAATAAGCTTAATTCCTAAGGAGGGGTGAGATACATGAGATTAACAAGACCGTCAGAGAACATTACGGCTGCAGGCGCTCAGTGGACTAGCTTTGCCTCCCTGTGAGCCCCTGGGATTTGTCTTTGGGATTTGTTCCCCCTCTGTGAAGAAACATTTTGTTCCAATGACACACGTAGCTTTCCTCACACTCCGGAAGTCTCCGTGTCCAGGGTTGAGGCCGACAGGGCACACTCTCCACACTGCCCAGCTTTCCATGGCAGATCGGTCACAGTGAGGCAAACACTGTCCCGATATGCGGTCTCCTCCCAGCAGAGGGACCGGAAGTCTCCGCATGTGGGATTTTGGTAGCAGCCTAGCGGGGAGGTAAGGACAGTCAGCCTCTGTCCTGCCAGCAGCTTGGGGCTGTGTGACCTTGACCACCTCCCTGACCCTCTGTGAGCCTGTTTCTCCGGTCACGAAGGGAAGAGTCTGGACCACATCTAGGGTCCCTTTCAGTTTAGTTCTCTGATTTAGGAACTGGGTGGTCTGTCCGTCTGCTGTACACATGTGCCACTCACACCCCAGTCACCCACACACGCGGCCCCTGCTACTAACCCTCCCCAAACATGGAAACTCCTGCCCACATGCTGCACTTTCCCCTGGGGAGGCCAGGCCTAGCTCAGATGACCCACCTGACCCAGATGAGGAAACAGAAGCAAGGGGAGGAGGCAGTGCTGCTCGCAGGCAAACCCTTGGATGGGCCCTTGGCCTTGGGCCTGGGAGTCAGCAAGGCCTGAGTCATTAAACCCGGTTATTAACCTGGATTCAAGAATAAACCCATGGTGACTAAACCTGGCCTTATTCAAATGCCTGGCATTAATGTCTTTCTGCATAGTTTCAGTACACTTGATCCTCTCCCTTACTATTTTTTTTCTTGGAGAAAAGCAACAGATCCTTGGAAACTATGTGATGCCCAAAGCCTACAAGTTACCCTTACATGAAGTTGAGGTTTTTATATTTGGTGCAGAAGCAGTAAAGGAAGTGAACAAAAACAACAAAAAGCACATTGGGCATTCCCAGTAAGATCTGCATCCTTAGTCACCTAAGTCCTGCACCAATAGCAATTTTTTTAGCCACTCTCGGCACCTAGCTCATTATGAAGCCTTGGGCATCACTTCCCCTCTCTGGGCCTCAGGCTCTCTCTGTAAAATGCTCTCTGGCTGGATTGGACTTGTACTCTGATGTTCTAAGAACCTCTGGCTTCTTTTATGAAGAGAGCTCTGTATGAATCCTCTGACCACGTTTTCTGAACTGAAAATGAGGACACATCTGATGAAGGAGGTGTTTTTTCTTAATTAGCTTTTTTACATGAAAGAGGTTATAAAGGTATACAGTGATTACAAATTTAAGGAGTCATCTTTACTGGAAAGAATTAAAAAACATAAAAGATGACAGTCAGCGAACATTTATGTATCCACGTACTCAATACTGGAATATTCAATAGCGAGAACTTCCTGGAAAATGCATTTGTGTTCTGTCTGTGGTCATATTCTGCACCAAATTTCTTCCCAGCAGCATAGTAAGAGTTGATTATGGAGTGAGGTTCATGACACCCAGCCACCTGGGGACTTCGGGTGTTTAGGACCTGTTCTGTGAGGGTGTCAGATCTCAGGACCCCTGTGTAAGGGGAACAGTCATGGGACACTCTAATCACATGTGGATGTTTGACCAAATATAGTGTTCCGAAGCGCAATCACTCACCAACACCCTAGCCTCGCCCTTGAATTGTTTTAGGTGTTTCCTAAAATCCAGTCCACCCTCCCAGGTGGAAAGTGTGCCATCTTTGCCAATATCCAAATGACAGGCCCCAGGCTCAGAGAACTTCCGGGGAGGCCCTCTTTGCTCTGAGCAACACAGGCAGCGTCAGAGAAGTGAAGAGCCTCCAAAAGCACTTGCTGGAAGCCAAAGACACCCCTGTGTAAGTGGAAATCCCAGGGCATTTGTTACAAAGCATTGTTGCATCACTGCCCCACCTTGCCCAGGCCCTGTTATGGCTCCTTGGGCAGCTGCTGGGACATGGGTCATCTGGCAGGAACTGGGCCAGGGCCTCCTGGAGCCCAGCAGGGCCCTGCAGTAGGTCATTGACTACGCGGAACATTTCAGAGCAGAGGTGGCCTGTGTCCAGAGGATGAGAAGCAGGACTTCATTTGACTGGCAAATGATTTTAGCAATGCTGTCTCTTCCACAGCCTGCCTTTTCACTGGACTGGAAACAGTTCCAGTTAAGTGCATGCGAGCCGGTATTCACACAGGCCACCCTCCTAACACGTGGGGTGACAGCAGGACAGAGGTTTCAGATCTGATTATTTTAGTCATTTATTTGAAACCCTTCACTGGTGGCCACTGGTCTACAGGATAAAGTCCAAAGGCCGTAGCCTGGTACCCAGGACTCCCCAAGTTCCACCTGCTTACCTTCCCAGACTCGTGTCCTGCCACTCCAGCCCTCCTAAACCACTCTGGTCTGCAGCCCCTGCCCGCTTGCCATCCCAGCCTGGATCACACAGTATGGTCACCTTGGGTCTTCTCCTTCCCCTCTCCTCCCCTCTCACTCCCCTTGAAGTCAGGACACAATTTACTTATTTTCTTACATCCAGTTTCTAGTCCAGTCTCTTACACATTCAATATCATTAAATTAAAAATAGTTCTGAAAAATCTCTGATTTGTGGTTGCTGCAAGACTGATTAGCTCATGGGAATTTCTTCCCGTGTACCATCTAAAATTGGAGGGACAAAAGATTCTGAATATTTTTCCTTTGGTCATTTATTCATTCAATACAAGCTTATATTGAGTGTTGCCTATGTGCACGTGAGGTGCTGGATGAGGGAGGACCCTCTCTGGCTGCAGCTGTGGGCTGGGTTCTTAGGAACCAGCAGGGGAGCTGATGAGGGCCCAGAGCAGCCTAACCTCCTCAGAGCTTAAAGAAAATGGCCTCTTTTGTTTTATTTTCTCCTAAGCGCCTAGTGACTGTCTCTGACCCAACATGTCACAGCACCTCTGTTGGGTTTTGCCACTGCCCCAGTTTTGCTGCAGCCCCACCCGAGTGGGGCCCCACCTTTGGGAAGCCCCAGACCTGTAAGAGTCTTTCCTCTCATGACAGGGAACAGTATGTGGAGGGCCCTTGCACAACCTAGGCCTTCTGGAAGGTGTGTGTTCTGCCCGGGGGTGCTGTGAGCTCCACATTCCTGCCAAGTCAGGACTACAACCGACTGTCCGAAGGGCCTGCAGGGTCACGATGGACTGAGCCGCAGGGGGCCCTG